GAACACTCAGTATTTTATTCCATTTTTGGATTCTTGGGCCCAAAAAAAGGTATTTATTATAAGGGTTAAATATGTTTAAAACCTTTGGTTTTTGAGATATTTAAAGATATTTAAATTTGCGTGCTACAATAGAATAGACTATTAACACCCTGTACATTAGTTTTCAGAATTAATTCTTGTTCTGAATTTAAAAGTAGAGGAATAAACTTTACAGAAAAATGTTATTGCTTTCTTAAATGTATACAGGGGTATCAAAAATTGCTGGCCTATTTTAAATATTTATTTTACATAAAAACTTCGTTATTTCAAATACAACACCCTGTATTTTTTTAAATAAGTCGAAGCAGATATAAATGCTCTTTCAAACTATATTAGGGTATCCTATACCTATCTGGCTCAGATTTTGAATAAAAAGCGATTTTTCAATAAAACTGTAATCACGATGGCTAGTATCGTCATGGCAAAATTTACAATTTGCAAAAATCCAATCTTTAGCTACAATACTCCGAGTCGTATGTACTGAAAAACCCTGTATATTTAAATGTCTTTCTGGATGTAATTCTCCATTAAAATCGATCCAGTCGTGTGTATTTACAAAAATATATCTAGTTTTTACTCTTTTTAGTGATATCTAATAGTTGGTATTGTTAATATTATACCGTATGATCGAAAAAAAATTGCGCAAGGTTGGCTTGGAAATGACGATCGATGACATTTAACAATGTGTCATAATATGACATGGCTAGATATATTGTTCGCCATAGATAAATGCAACAAGTTTAGATTGGAAAGCCCGTAAAAATTTTGGGTCGCGAAATTATTTTGGGTCGCGACCGTTATACGCGATCTGGCGCTGCTATAGCGGTCGCTAAGAACAATGGCAAACAAAAACAGAAATAATGTTCTCTTGTCAAAATCAGAATCTTCAAAAATCATAATAATCTTTCAAAATCTAAACCGCTCTCATTAAATTAATTCCGAAAAGTGTTTATAGTGTCCATTTTCAAAGTAATTATTGCTATCTTGTGAGTTCAATTCAACTTTTATTTACTCCAACCGGTGATAATTGTGAAAAAGTGGCATTAAAAACTTAAAAAGCTGTGCTGTGAACTGTGAACTGCAAAAACCATCGTGGATCGTGGCATAACGTCGGTTTCCAATGTTTCATAAGTATTTCATACATGAGTCCTTATATAAAATAAAGTTTCTTGTATGCAACACACTGTATTTTATTTATAAAATTAAACGAAAATAATAATAAATTTGAATAAACAATATTTGGCGATATAATTCCGAAAAAAGCCGAACCGCTCCGAAATTTTCAAAAGTTTTGGGTCGCGACCGTTGCAAGAACAGCGCCAAATAGTGTTTACATTGTCCTTATGGGCACTTTCCAATCTAAACTTGTTTCATTTATCTATGTTGTTCGCATTCTTGACGTTTAAAGTCAAAGACTACTGGTTAAAATCAAGAAAAATATACTTTTCAGAAATAAATCTTAAATAACTTAAAAACGATTTATTTTTGAGGAACGTGTAGAATCATAAGTAACGATTTGAAAAACTTTTTCACTAGTGAAAAAAAAAATAATTGCGATAATTTTTTAATCCCTCAATTCCATGACAGCTACGGTCAATATTATATGACATTCGAACAATTTAATTTTGAAATAGAATAGCCACATGTCTCCTCTTTATGTCACAGTGGCTCTGGTAATTACTAAATTTGACGTTTAGGCTACACAATTTTTTTTGACAGGCAGTTTTTTTCCTCTAAAAATTTTTAATATTTTTTTCTGTGATACGGCTAATGTTAGGTATAGAGTGTTTAATATCAAAATTCATAAAATTTTACAGATAATTTAAATATGTAATAAAAAATGGCGGTACCCATTTAGAATAAGAAAGTTACTGTCAACTTTCGGTATTTTCGGAAGTGCCACCGTATTGAAAATATTTTTAATCGACAGATCTTGTTGTGAAACACTAAAATGCAAATAGATCTCCGATCTAAATATTGTAGTTCTGTAGAAACTTCTAATGCACGCTCAGCCTGGGACATCCTTTAAATGAATATACGATTATATAGAGAAAAATAAGAAATCTGTGCAAGTTACATATATCTTATTGTTTGTAGCTTCCTTATTCGCTAAGAAACCCAATTAAAATAGGGAAATGACTGTTATTACGCGAATCCATCCATAAGAAATCAAAATTATGATCAAACTAACTTAGTTCCTTAAAGTTTTTACTTATATAAACGTCTAATTGACTGTAATTGTAGAACCCCGTAAGAATTTTACATATCTCACATTTTCAGTGGAATTCTAAACATATTTCCCATATGCTTAGTTTTAATTCAATTAATTATAAAAGATCGATGTTATTTTTTATTTAATATTTTTTGCAAGAAATGTGATTTATTGCTATTTTAAATTCTTTTTTCTAACGTTCGTTGATTGATTTATTGGAAAATTATCGATTTCAGAATTTTATTATGGCGTCTTAAGCAATTGAAAATTGATTACGAATTTCGAAAATATACGTACCTACATACGTGAAGTAATGAGTTTTTATAAAATAAATACTGCGAATACCATCTGTTAAATAAAGTTATTAAAAAAATAATGTATACACTTTTGTTGCGAAAAATCTGTGTTTTTTCTCCACTGAAAGATAAATCTACAAAATAAAAAAAAGGTGTGTTTTCACGCATTAGAGAAAAATACAGCACTTTCTTGTTTCCGATAGTTCTTATTTAAGAGAAGTACGCATTTTTCGATAGCGTCGTAGATTTCTGCCTGCAGGATGCTGGGGTAGGTGCCTATTGGTTCGGAGTACTTAGTTAAAAAAAAAACAACGTTTTATTATACAAAAAGCCAAAACAGCTTCATCGACAAAGCATTCACAAAACAAAAAAGCACAAAAACAAATATACAAATAATAAAAAAAATGTCATACAATACAAATCAATTCAAAAAAATTTGCGTCATAAAATTACAAAGGAAACATATATGGACATTGCAGAACATAGGCGTATCTAGAAAATTTTACAAAAGAAAAACTGTAAATGGATAAAATCATGTCATATATCATAAAATCAAGAGTTATAAAATATTAAATACTAGACCTTTAACCAGTGTGTGAGATGATCAATATTTTAAAATTCAAAATTGTTCATGATTAAACATCAACAAAAAAGTCGTTTACCGCATATAGGGCTCACTCCAGTAAGTATGATTTCAGGGCTTTGCGAAATGCGGGAAAGAATGAAAGTGATATTCGAAGGCAAATGATTGTACATTTTCTTGGCATTGTACAGTATTGAGCCCTTAACTAGTTCTGAGCTCGGGGTTGGCAGATAAATATCGTGCTCCGCATTCCTAAGTGGATAGTTGTGAGAAGGCCTTTCCGGAATAGAGAATATATGCTTGCGGATTAAGCAAACGGATTCAAAAATGAATAAGGAAGGAAGAGTCAGTATTTTGAAATTTTTAAAGAGATTCTGGCAGTGAGTTCTACTGTTTAGTCCCAATAAGTATCGAACTGCTCTTTTGAAGTTTGAACAGCTCTTTTGAAGTTTGAAAATACGATCAAATTTTGTCACGCCGCAAATGCCCCAGAATGGAAGGGCATAACGAAGATGTGACTCAAAAAGGGCATAATAGACCATTCTAGAGGTTGATGAGTTAAGTTCCTTAGAAACTGATCTTAGCGCAAAACAAGCAGAGCTTAGTTTTTTTATAATACTCATATCTCTGTTCCTGCTTTGGTTTTGGAAGCATCGGTATACCACGTTATGGCATGGTCTATGGTCGTTTAGGTTAGGTTAGGTTGCTGAGGTTTGGGATCATATTTGATCCCTCACTCGGAGGCCTTGGGCCCATTACGATACCCCTGTATTGTTTTACCAAACCTTCCTCTCATTCATTCTTTGCGTTAAAGCACTTCCAGCTCTCTGCAAAGTTCCCGATGTCGCTGATGTTGGCTTCTGCTGCTTCCTCTAGTCCCTCCAAAAAACCTTGCCCTAAAGTTTTAAAGCGTCGGTATTCCAGTGCCGGACGTGAGCAGGTGCTCTATGGTTTCTTCTTCCTCTCCGCATTCTCTGCAGTAGTCGTCGTCGGAAATTTTCCATCTCACGAGGTTTACCCCCGTGTGACAGTTTTCAGTGACGACACCTACAATTATGCGTACTAGGTCTTTTTTGTACTCTAGTAGTTGTTTTGTCTTTTTGCTATCTACCACTGACCATAGTCTTCGAGCTGTAGCGCAGTCCTCACGGTGTTGCCACGTCTCTTGCTGCTTGGCTTTAATGGCAGTTCCTATAGCCTCCTTCAGTGTGTTGATCGTCACAAGTGGTGGGTCATCTGCCACGGCCTCTCCCCTGGCCCCGTCTTTGGCGAGTCTGTCTGCTTCCTGATTGCCCACCAATTTGCTGTGGCCTGGCACCCAGCACAGAGTAGCCCCGCCCCGACGCAGCCAGGACAGTGCTTCTCGGCATTCTATAACAGTTTTCGATCTCACTGATTGCATGGTGATGCTTCTTAAAGCGGCCAAGCTATCAGAGTATATAACTATATCCCCTATTGGTCTAGTAGGTGTAGGTAGAGCATTACAGCCATCCGATAGCATTAAAGATCGTCAGATGTCTAGTTCCTCTGAGAAAATGCCTATACCTGGGCCCCCTGAATTTGCGGAAGCATCTGTGTAGACTGCTATCTCTTGAGTGTTCGTTACTCGGTTGCTTTCCCATTCTTCTCTTGTCGGTATGCGAATCCTTATATTTTCTCCAAAATCATGTTTGGTGAGCATATAGTCCGTTTTCTGGTCTAGCAGATGTGGACTCGTGTTCACCATGATTTTTTCTATCACTGGCAATATCCTCGAGTGACCGTGGTCTTTGGTCTTTTAACTTCTGAGCAAATATTTCTCTCAAAATAATAGATAATAATGCTTTAATTTTAGATATTTCTTCATTTAAAAGTGTCTCATTTGTTTCAGATATTCTTCATAGGAACTCTTCTGCTTTCGTTAGGAACATGCCAAGAAACACCGAAGAAAACAGCAGTCCCAGTGCATACAAGAACAGAATTAAAAGTTTCCAGAAGTCTGAACCCGGAAGACACTCAAACGCTCAACGTAATGACGAGAGATGGCAGTGTAGCACAGCTGATAGTGAAAAGAAGAGATAGATCCAAGAGTGTGGACACTCAGACCAGCAATACAAACAAGGCAAATAGGTGAGTAATATTTAGTTTGTTATATATAGCTATAAATATCTATTTATCATAGCAAAACACAAATTTCATGCGATAAAACCCAAAAAACTGTATGCTTTGTGAAATTTACAACAAAAACTAAAATATGACCATCACAAATTAGTAGTACAAATCAGTATTTTGAACAATAGCGCCAAAATAGTGTGTTTTAAATATAATAGATCTCTGAAGTAATAGAACTCTGAAAGTACGCCACTATGACGTCGTTTAATCTTGAAAACGAATATACAGGGTGTCCCAGAAATAAATGCAAGTATTTTAACTGATAGTATATATTGCGGCCTCAGAAACACGTCTATGAGGTATTTTTTGCAAAAAAAAAATTGAAAATTTGGAACTTTTTGCAAAAAATGTTTTTTTTAGTTTTAAGTTAAAAAACATAATTTCTTGATAATATGGCAACATAGGTAGTAGCTTAAATTTACATGAAAGAAAATCCAGAAAAGAGCCAGTGGTTCTCAAAATTTTAGCAAAAAATCATTTTTTTGGAAATTCCAAACCAAACAACTCGGTTATTTTGGACTTATTTGAAAAACGGCTAAGAGAAAAACTGTTTCTTTTGACCAGATCTACCACCCCTTATAATACTTGCACTTATTTCTGGGACACCCTGTATATATTAAAATAAATATAAAAAGTAAAAATTATTTAAACAATATTTAATCAAAACGTAATAGGCCAATAGTAAGCGAGGATAAAAATAGGGTATTACCTCCGAATTCTTGACACCTGCACCGATTGACGTGAAATTTTAACAATGAATAGAGATATATGTAAGAAACAAAAGTTACATAGTAGCGATGTGTGCTTTCACCCTGGGGGTGAGTGCCACCCCTTGTCGGGGGTGAAAAATAGATCACCCATTTTAGTTACAAAAATCAATAGAGGGATGAATTCTAAGCAAAAAATGTGCTATAACATTTTTTCAGAAAATTAATATTTTCCGAGTTATTTAGGATTGAAAATCTTGGGTTTTCATCTAAAAACTGCATATTTTTCTGCATTTTTATTATAAATAACTCGAAAATCTTGCGTTTTATCGCAAAACTCATATAACGCACAAATAAAGATTTTGGAATAAACGATTCACTTTTTGTTGTTTACCACAGGTGTAGTAACATCCGAGTTACCACTCTGTAAACTTGATTATTTATTTTTCGAAAACTAAATTGCAACCTTTTACCGTAAAATAATGGCGAAAGTACACATTTTTCGAAGAAAATGAATATGACCGTTTTTAAAGTGCTTGAAAAGATCTTTTAAATGTCTTTTTTTTAAAGGTCTTTTCAAGTTCGTAGCTCAAAAACTCGCGGAGTTATGATAAAAATAAAATGGTCACCTCATTTTTTCGGAAAAAAATTAACCACAAAATCTATGACTAAAATCATAAAAATAAAAACTGTCAGTTTGTAAGAAATTACACGAGCTACAAATTAACCTCTAGAGTTGAACAGTCTTGAACTCTTCATTTTCACGAGATTTTTTGGTTTCAAAGGCTCAAAGAAGGTGGTCCTTACATGCAAGTCAAACTAAAAAAACGTAATATCTACAAATATATTAAAATCATTAAAATTAATAGAATCCTAACAACATTAACTTGCGGTAGTCAGTGGTGTGGTTATATCCATAGAAAAAGCCTAATAAGTAGTTTACAAAACAATAAACTTTTCATTTTTAACCACAATTTCTCTTGAAAGATGATCATAAAAGACCAAAATGACATTACTCGTAAATTTTGAAGTTAAATTAGTGGTAAATGTTAAAAGTTTGTTAAGTTTTTCTACTAAATGAAAATTACTACCACAAATTTTTACGTTCTGAATGCTTATATTGAAATTAGAGGAACAACCACTAATTTCGCGGTCTTCCAAAAATTACTGGTTTCAATTAGCGTAGAAGTTTGTTCCTGTAATTTCAATGTAAGCATTCAGAACGTCAAAATTAGTGCTAGTAATTTTCAATTAGTAGAAAAAGTTATAATTAAAACCACTAATTGCGAAGTATATATATCGATTGGGGGTTTAACCAAAACCAAATAATTAAAAGAATCATATTAAAAAACAAAAATACAGACGATATGATAACTACAATTTTTTTATTCTTGTTCCAGTGAGTACAGTAGAGGACACGACAAAGAAGACTCACAAAACAACTATAGAACATTGAAAAAATTAGGCGTTAATCCATACAGTACCTTCTACTTTCCTCAGGACAATCCTGTAGAAGAAGAAACATACAAAACAGAGGATTCTAACAATTTTAAGAACAATGCTGGATCTACAACGCAAAAGTTTCAACCCAGTTGGATACCACTGTCAGGAAACTATTATCAACCGACAAAAATTGTCAGATTGGACTCAATAGCTGTCGTGAGGAATTCCAGTGATTTCAGACCTTTGCAGAATAATTTGGGAAATGTTATTGACAGTGATAGGTAAGTGTAACAAGTCTTCAGAGTATCGATATTTTAAAATACATCAATATTTATTTATTTGCAAAATGAATCATACTACAATACGCTATATTGGTTGGTAAATAATATAAAAATTACGAAAAAATGTTAGTGTCTTATTCAAAAGCGAATTATCTTCAACAAAAATAAAGCTATCGAGATAAACCAAAAACCAACCTATCGAGAAAGGATGTACCTAGATGATAAAATTATTTTTAAATTTCTTGCTCTCTTAACATATTCCACAGAGTGTTTCAAACTTTCATCGAAATATCAACCATTTTGTATTCCCTCGTATAACTGAGAGATGGGAACTTTAATTCTTAATCTAGAAAAAAATACTAAAAAGCCAAATAATTTAGCTACAAACAGCTTAAAGGATCATCAAAATTGGCACACTAGAACAAAATATTTTAAATTTTAAAATAGGTATGTACAGGGTGGGTCAAATTCGACGCTTTTAAATGGAAACACCCTTTTTTATAGAAGATAGGCAAAAACTAATATCGGTGTCTGGAGCTCAATTTTTGTCAAAAATATGATGGTGAAAACCGCATATCGATATCTGTTACCGTTTCGGAGTTACGGGGTGTTTTTCAAAAATATGCATTTTTAATAAATCGCTGTAACTTTTTTACTATGGAAAATGTTGTATTTTTATGAAAACATTTCCAAAGCACCTTTTTACGTAGAATTTAATGGTTTAAGTGTAATTTTTTTAAAATTAATAATTTAAGAATTATCAACAGAAAATTTGATTTTTTATATGGGACACCCTGTATATTTTTAATTTATTGAAAATAATTTAAAATTACCTTTCCAAAAATATAACACACTTGATATTTTGTTATAATCCCCTTCGAAATACAGAATATTTAAAAGTTCGCCACTTTTAACTAGTAGGCTTTGGACCCGTTATTGATGATATGCCCTTAATGGAACTCGAAAACATATTTTTCCAGCAAGACGACGCACCGCCTCAGAACGCTGAAGTAATCAGCAAATTTTTGCAGTCAATTTCAAGAATAATTGAATAGCTAACCAAGATCCCAGCCGTTGGCCGTCGAGGCCGCCTGACTTAGTGCCCATGGATCTAATCCTATGGATATATTTGCGGAAGAATAAAGGTTTCTTATTCTTCCGTATAATCTAGACAAGAATTAGAAATACTTAGCAGTTAAGAGAGGGTATCTTTCACTCCCACTGAATTCCGCGAGAAATGTTCAAAAACTACCCCGTCTGTCCATAACAGAAGACGGTCGATATGTCGAACACCTGTAGCAAAATCTCATGTCTTGGTTTCCTATTTATTTTTATTGTTCTTAGATATAGTTTAAATGTGTTGATGTTGTTAAATATAGTTAAAATTGTTATAAAATTCTAAATCTCTCATAGCAAATATTATTTTCGTTTTAATTGATGCTCACAGCTAGAATTTTTTTGCATTACAGCCGGTGCCGTTCAAAGCCTACTTATTTAAAGCGGGTGAATTTTTATATACTCTATAACTCGAAGAGGAATCGAGCAAAATATCAAGTGTGTTATATTTTTGGAAAGGTAATTTTAAATTCTTTTCAATAAATTAAAAATATACAGGGTGTCCCAAATAAAAAATCAAATTTTCTGTTGATAACTCTTAAATTATTAATTTTAAAAAAATTATAATTTAACCATAAAATTCTACGTAAAAAGGTGTTTTGGAAATGTTTTCATAGAAATACAAAATTTTCCATAGCAAAAAAAGTTACAGCGATTTGTTAAATATGCACATTTTTGAAAAACACCCCGTAACTCTGAAACGGTAACAGATATTGATGTGCGGTTTTCACCGTCATGTTTTTGATGAAAATTGAGCTCCAGACACGGATATTAGTTTTCGTCTATCTCCTATAGAAAAGGGTGTTTCCATTTAAAAGCGTCGAATTTGACCCATCCTGTACATCAAATTTTAAGGTGCTCGTTTTGCGAGCTGTTGAGTGTATATTTAACTTTACAAATACATAGAAATTTTAAGGTGTCATTTTTTCGTGGAGATAAGTCAAAACATACAAGGCCGTATATAAGTCAAAACTATGCCATTTTTCTCAGATATTTGAAATGATTAATTTAAGAATTAATTTAGGGAGACGATAATGCAATTTTATCCTCGTGTATAGAACAATATTTTTTTCCATAGCGAGTTACATTTTAAAAAATATTCAGAAATTATTATTTCAAGGAATTTATTACGATTAGAAAAAATATTGTGCTGGCTTGGCGTTGGTTTCTATGTAATTTGACAAATGAAGCTGTCTCTTTAGTTGTCAGTTTTGAGTCAATATTTTTTAATTCTCTTTCGTGTCGATTGCTGATTCAGTTGGAGCCAAAAATGGCTCGAAACGAAATAAGTAAATTACCAACAGATATTCAGGCTGAGGCTGCGGCGACAAACGCCATATTATCCAAACTACTTCCATTTAAATCCCGAATAACTTATGAAAAGGAATACAAAAATTTTCAAAAATGGAAGCAATTAAAAAACGTGCGAGAAGAAATAAAGTTTTTAACCTATCCTCGCTGTTAAAGTATCATTTAATCTACCCTTACGGTTAAAGTATTTTTATATATACATACTATTTACTATTGTTACGGACCCGTGTGGACTCGACCTAACCTAACTATATGTCCCGCCCTCAGATGACCTTAACATCGCATTAAAGAATAGACACCGTAATGATTCATTCGTTCCAGAAGAATCGAGTCCCACTGGAATGGACTAGTACATGCGAGAACATTCGAAAACCTTCTCTACGCACCTAACGATCTATGGACTATTCTAGAGTTCTTTACCTGTCGGTATAAAAGCCGGCGGCTGTGGCCTACAGGGGGCAGTTATAAATATACCAGTGCAGTTGACGCGCTAAAATTCAAAATAAATTCTTAGTTATAAATCGTTTGTAAATAGTTCTATAAGTCTTTTATCGTTATTGTTTTTGTTAATTAGTGTTAAATAAATAGTGTTTAAAAAAATTGTGACTTTCTATCCACACGGAACCGACGAAAAACGTAACACTATTATTACTATTTATTACTATTATAATATTTTATCTACTAGTTTTTCATAGATATATGGCAATTTTAACAGTTGCTATGGAAAAAATACAATTTTATTTATATTCCCGTTTAATTTATATTCAAGTAGAATTTATGAAGTCCTATTTGGGTAATAAAATTTTAGTGATTCTTTAAACGTGTTTTATAGCCAATAAATATTTCACCTAAATTGAGTAACAGTACGTTTTAAAATGCCTTCAGTCGATCGATTGGTTAATTCTTAGCCTTGTCTGTTTAAAGTAATACATCAGTAAGAGAAGCATATCAGTTCACATTATTGTTTGGTATATTTTATAAATTACCTTTATATATTTATTATGAAATAAAATATGTTCTTAAAATAAAATTTTCTTTAATTTCGATTTTTGAAGTGAACAAATTCAAGGTTGTGATACACGCACTAGGGGTAACAACCACTAGTAACAACCACTGGTGGTTTTTTCCAAAAAAACTCAGCAATTCTTGAATTTGTATACCTTTTTTGATGGCGTCTTTTTTCCATAACAAGGGGCCGTCCTGTGCCGGAAACACTGCGACCTGTAAGGCCTGTTGTGTTTGTCCCCTTTCTATATCTGCACCCATTCTCCTATCCCTGTGCCCTGCACTAGCTTATGCAGGTCCTTGATAGGATGGGAGCATAGTTCCTCCGGTTCTAGCCTTCTTCTTCTTTACGTGCCGTCTCTTTCGTGGAGGTTGGCGATCACATTCGCAAAATCTTCACGATTCTCGGCTTTCCTTATAAGTTCTTCAAAAGTTAGGTGAGTCCAGTTTCTGATGTTTCTCAACCAAGATAGTTTCTTCCTGCCGAGACCTCTCTTTCCTTCAATCTTACCCTTAACTATCAATTGTAAGACGTGGTCTTTTTCATTTCTCAATATATGCCCTAAGTATGATGTTTTTCTTATTTTTATTATATTGAGCAATTCTCTCTCTCTGCCTATTCTGTTGTAGACTTCGGTATTTGTGATATGGGCTGTCCATGGAATTTTAGGCATTCTTCGATATATCCATGTTTCGAACGATTCGAGGCGATTCATCTCTTGAACTTTCAGTGTCCATGTTTCTGCTCCGTATAATGGGATTGACCAAACATAACACTTAACGAGCCTAGTTCTCAACTCTAGGTCCAATCTGGGGTTCTGGAAGACGTTCTTCATTTTTAAAAATGCATTTCTTGCTTGTTCTATTCTGGTTTTTATTTCCACGTCGTTGTTCAAGGTGTTAACTATCCAGGACCCCAAATATTTGAACTTGTAGACCTGTTCTAAAGTATTGCCCTCTATTTTAATAGGAATTGGTACATTTTAGTTCTTTCCAAATATCATGACTTTAGTTTTAAGAGAATTGATCTTCATCCCGTATTTCTTACAGGAGCCTTCAAGTCGTTCCACTAAACTCTGGAGACCAGTATCAGAATCGGCAATAAGAACTGTGTCATCGGCAAATCTAATGTTGTTAATGACTTCGCCGTTGACTTTAATACCGCAATCTGTTGAAGAGAAAGCTTCCCGAAAAATCGCCTCAGAATAAACATTAAATAACAAAGGAGACAGCACACATCCCTGTCTTACTCCTCTCTGTATATTGACTGGATTGGAATTGTCATTTTCAATTTTCATGTGGGCTGTTTGTTGCCAATATATATTTTTCAGAAGTGTTACATCTTTGCTGTCAACTCCCAACTCATACAACATTTCGATAAGTCTCGTATGTTTGACTCTATCGAATGCTTTTTCGAAATCTACGAAACACACATACATTGGTTTTTGTTGGTCTGTACACTTCTGCGCCATCAATTGTAAACAGAATAAGGCCTCTCGTGTTCCCAATCCACTCTTAAACCCAAACTGTTTATAGCCGCTTTCTTGCTCACACTTCTTATAAATTCTGTTATGTATTATTTTAAGTAACACTTTCAGTGCGTGACTCATTAAACTAATAAGTCTGTAGTCACTGAGATGTCGAGCTGATGGTTTTTTCGGAAGCGGTACAAAAGTTGAGTGGAGCCAGTCATCAGGTACTTTTCCTCTATCATAGATCTTGTTAAAAAGCCTAGTCAGTATATCTACGTTCTCTTCTGATATTCTGGATATATATTGTCAGGGCCTGGACTTTTGTTGTTTTTAAGTTGTTTAATTGCCTGCAATACTTCACTATTGAGAATTTCTGGTCCCTGATCAACCGTTGGTCTTACTGTTGGTTCTTCTCTATAGTCATTATAAAGTTCTTTCACGTGTTGTTCCCATACTTGTATTTTTTCTTGTACGGTTGAACACAGTGTACCATCTGAGTTAATAATTGTTAGAGGACAAAAACGTTGTGCTGGTCCAGTTAATTCTTTTATTTTTTTGTGTAATGTAAACGAGTCGTGTTTCTTTTGTAAGTCCTCTAATTCCACGCACTTCTCTGAAATCCACTTTTCTTTAGCTGTGATTATTGCTTTATTAATTTCCTTATTGCAACGTTTATACGCTATAGCATCTCGACCTTTGTGTTCTCTGCGCTGGTCCATAAGTTGGAGAATTTCGTCCGTCATCCATTGTTTGTTCTTTGTTTTTAGGCCAGTTAAATGTGTTTGTGTGGCTTTAACTAAGGGTTTTTTTAATGCGTTCCAGGTAGTGTTTATATCTTTTTCGCTGTTTCTCACTTCCTGAAAAGCATCATTAACTTCTTGGGCTACTCTGTTTTTTACGTCTTCGTTTTTCAACATCTTGATGTCTATTTTTTTATATGAATGTTTTTTTCCAGTAAATTTTAATTTTAGTCTTATATTTGCAACAACAGGATTATGATCGGAATTAATATCTGCGCCTGGAAACGTCTTTGCGCTTTTAACAGATGATTTAAATCGCTAGTTTATTAAAATGAAATCTATCTGGTTCCGAACTATTCTGATGCCATTGTCTTGAGGGGATCTCCAGGTATATAATCTTCTTTTAGGCAACTTAAATAGAGTGTTTGTAATTGTCATGTTGTGATCTTGACAAAATTCTATCAATCTTTCTCCACGCTCGTTTCTCACTCCTAGCCCGTATTTTCCAACAATGTTATTTATTGGTCCTTCGCCAAACTTTGCGTTTATGTCGCCCATAATTATATTAATGTCGTGTTGTTTAGTTAACTTGTATACTTGTTCCAATTCATCGTACCATCTTTCCAATTCCTCTTCTGAACTTTCTGAAGGTTCTAGCCTAGCTTTAGTTCTAGCCTAGGTTCTAGCCTAGCTTTTCCAAATAACAAGTCTCGCTTGCGATCCAGAGCCTCGCAATAACATATCATGTGCTCCGCTGTTTCGGGATCTTTATGGCGAGTCTGCAGCAAAAACTTCCTTGATACAGGTTGAGCTTGTTCAGGTAACACTTGACAGCCATGTGTCCTGTCAAGAGGCCTGTTGTAATCCGAATTTAATCCTGCTAGGCATTAGCAGTTCTTTTGCGGTTTTAGAGCTTGGTTCTTGGATTTGATGGCGTCTTGGTACACATCCTAAAGCGCAACTTTGCCCCAATTTAACCATGTTCGTATCTATTACGGTTACCGAGATACCAGTGCTCGTACCTCGAATTTGTAGCACCCTGTATACAGGGTTGTTGACCACATACGACACGGAGTATTGTAGCTAAACGACTAGATTTTTACAAATTGTAAGTTTTGGGTTCGTTGAAGGACTATTAGAGCTACAATTTTATTACTATTTTACTACAAAAATATTTTTACAAGATACAGAGTGTCCCAAATAAATAAAAAAATATTAAAGTTGTATTATTTTCAATGGAACACCCTATATATTATTACATTTTTAGTTTCTACGATTAAAATAAAAGTAAATTTGATTAAGGTTTATTACACTTAAACCTTACCGTTTTTGAAATATTTTCAATTTTGTGAAATTGCAGTATACATTTTAAGGCTTTACTGAAGTTTATTTATTGATCAGTTATTGTGTTGCAATAATAAAAACTTTACTACCTTATACAGAGTGTCTAAAAATTATTTTAAATAATTACTAGCTTTAAACGGCAATAACTCGTTTGATTTAAATGGAACACCCTGTATGTTTTATGAGAATCAGATGCACAATTTAATTGTCTATCAAATTGTATTATACCGGTTTTTACCTATCTTTTCAAGTTTCCGTACAAAATGCATTTTCTTGTAATTTAGAACTCATTTATCAATATACCCATGGAATACTGACATTTTAGATTATTTTTAAAGATGTACCAAATTTTTAAAGAATACAGATACTAATATTGTCGATATAGTTCGTTTAGTTCATTAAAAAATAAAAAAAACTGTTTAAATATTTGTTAAAGAGGACCAAAATATGATTCCAGTATTGAAACTACATTAATTGACTGTTTGCGTTGATTAATAATAATTGCTTCAAATACTAAAAAGCTGAATTATGTATGTGTATTAGACAGTGTGGTAAAAAGTAACACCTTAAAAATGATATTTAATTTTTTGACAAATGCTTATTTATAACAACAGATACGTTCATTTTCATAACTTATTATTATATTGATTTCTGATTCAAATCCACATTTATTTAGAATAATTTATTAACGAATACAATTAAGTATGTAGTTAATTAGTATTTTAAGGAAATACTGATGGTTTATTTAATTAATGGTATACTCTTTTATAAAGATTTAAATAGTTTTCTTTTTGCATACAAATGGCCTAGTAATATTATCGTTTTACTAAAAACGATAATATTACTAGCCTGTACATTTTGTACATTTGTTGTTTTAAAAGCAATCTAAAATGTCAATATTCCATGGGTATATTGATAAATGAGGTCTAAATTATAAGAAAATGCATTTTCTACGAAAACTTGAAGGAATAGGTAAGAAGTGGTATAATACAATTTGATAGACCGTTAAATTGTGCATCTGATTCTCATAAAATATACAGGGTGTTCTATTTAAAGTAAATAAGTTATTGCCGTTTAAAGCTAGTAATTATTTAAAATAAATTTTCAGACACTCTGTATAAGGTAGTATAATTTTTATTATTGCAGCACAATAACTGATCAATAAATAATCTTCAGTAAATATTTAGTATTAAAAACTTTGTGATATCCTCGGAGAAATGAAGCCTTAAAATTTATACTGCAATTTCGCAAAATTGAAAATATTTCAAAAACGGTAAGGTTTAAGTGTAATAAACCTTAATCAAATTTACCTTTATTTTAATCGTAGAAACTAAAAATGCAATAATATACAGGGTGTTCCATTTAAGAAAATACAACTTTGATATTTTTTATTTATTTGGGACACTCTGTATCTTGTAAAAATATTTTTAAATTGTAGCTCAAATAGTCCTTCAACGAACCCAAAACTTACAATTTGTAAAAATCTAATCGTTTAGCTACAATACTCCGTGTCGTATGTGGTGAACAACCCTGTATAGTACAAATAAACATTTTTGATAAAAATCATATTATATGATAAAATATATCCATTCCAAACATACCAGGGTGTAACATTTTTAATGCATTGAATTTATACTAGGATGTAAACATATACGACCAACAATTTAATAAAAATGAATGAATTACGACATGACTGACATTCACATGCCGCTTCGATATCCCAAATATAAAATTTATTATTCATCATTCAACCTGAATAAGGTTATTATTTTATCTCTGTCTTTTGACAACACATCCAACCGCACCTTATGTGCCTTCTCATTGTATATTATCATAAAAATAACTAAAACATTTTTATATTATCCAAAGGCGGGATTTCTCTTTTTTACGCACGCCGAACATTATGCTAATCTGATTCGTCAGCCTAAGTTGACAGGTTGATCATTATTATTATCATTATTATACGCCATTCACTCTGATGGGGCCGAAACACACACATGTTACGATTTTGTCCATTAAGTATTCCGTTTATATGTATTTAGGGAATATTAAAAAAGTGAAAAGAAAGTGAATTGGGAATCTTTAAACGGTTCATTATAATAATATATTTTTTTTTATTTATGGCTTTTTTGGTTTGGATTTCACACTTATTGGGCCATTATATTTCGTAAATTACAAACGAATTAATGCATTTTATTTCTGTTAAACATTTTATGTACATAGATTATCTTTAAATTACACTCTCCAGTTCTCATCCTTTCAAAAAGTCTAGCAACTTGGAGAAATCATGTTTTTTTCTTGATATTGCAGGATACCACATGTTATTCCTCAACCTGTCAACATCAGGTCCAGCGAAGTGTTCGTGCAAAATGGCGGTCGGAAAAAAGCAAGATCGACCATGCAAATGGACAGCGACGGGATACCAGTTATACAGGGTGTTCGTATGCCAGACGACCCAACTGATACAAAAACATGGAGAAATGCCAGGTAAGTGTACCTATTACTGAAATACCTATAGAAAAATTAGAAAAAGTATAATATTGACTTGAAAGTATCATTTGTCGGAAACTTCTTATACATCATTATATATATAGGGTGTTCCTGGCTAACCTTGCATTATAAGTGTCTAGATTCGAGTTGATTTGGATATCCATGTTTCACAATGATATCTATAGATTAAAAATATATTTGATTTTTCTTATTTTAAAGGGATATTTTTCATTTTCTTTTATATTCAAATTTTCTGTGAATTTTATGTGAATATGGTATCATTAATTTTTACATGTATACTGTACAGGGTGGGTCAAATTCGACGCTTTTAAATGGAAACACCCTTTTCTATAGGAGATAGACAAAACTAATATCGGTGTCTGGAGCTCAATTTTTGTCAAAAACAAGATGGTGAAAACCGCATATCGATATCTGTTAACGTTTCGGAGTTACGGGGTGTTTTTCAAAAATATGAATATTTAACAAATCGCTGTAACTTTTTTGCTATGGAAAATTCTGTATTTTTATGAAAACATTTCCAAGGCACCTTTTTACGTAGAATTTAATGGTTTAAGTGTATTTTTTTAAAAATACACTTAAAATAAAATAAAATAAATAATTTAAGAATTATCAACAGAAAATTTGATTTTTTATATGGGACACCCTGTATATTTTTAATTTATTGAAAAGAATTTAAAATTACCTTTCCAAAAATATAACACACTTGATATTTTGCTCGATTCCTCTTCATGATATAGAGTATATAAAAATTCGCCCGCTTTAAATAAGTGGGCTTTGAACGGCACCGGCTCTAATGCCAAAAAATTCTAGCTGTGAGCATCAATTAAAACGAAAATAATATTTGCTATGAGAGATGCAGTATTTTATAACAATTTAAAATATATTTAACAAATATCAACACATTTAAACTATATCTAATAACTATAAAAATAAATAGCAAACCAAGACATGAGATTTTGCTTCAGGTGTTCGACATAACGACCGTCTTCTGTTATGGAGAGACGGGGCAATTTTTGAACATTTCTCGCGGAATTCATAAACTCAGTAGGGGTGAAAGATACCCTCTCATAACTGCTAAGTATTTCTAATTCTTGTCTAGATTATACGGAAGAATAAGGAACCTTTATTCTTCCGCAAATATATCCATAGGATTAGATCCATGGGCACTAAGTCAGACGGCCTCGACGGCTGGGATCTTGGTTGGCTATTCTATAATTATTCTTGAAATTGGCTGCAAAAATTTGCTGATAACTTCAGCGTTCAGAGGCGGTGCGTCGTCTTGCTGGAAAAATATGTTTTCGAGTTCCATCAAGGGAATATCATTAATAAGGGGTCCAAAGCCTACTAGTTAAAAGTGGCGAACTTTTAAAAATTCTGTATTTCGAAGAGGATTATAACAAAATATCAAGTGTGCTATATTTTTGGAAAGGTAATTTTAAGTTCTTTTCAGTTAATTAAAAATATACAGGGTGTCCCAAATAAAAAATCAATTTTTCTGTTGATAACTCTTAAATTATTAATTAAAAAAAAATATATTTAAACCATTAAATTCCACGTAAAAAGGTGCTTTGGATATGTTTTCATAGAAATAAAAAAATATTCTATAGCAAAAAGTTACAGCGATTTGTTAAAAATGCACATTTTTGAAAAACACCCCGTAACTCCGAAACGGTAATAGATATCGATGTGCGGTTTTCACCATCATATTATTGATAAAAATTGAGCTCCAGACACCGATATTAGTTTTCGTCTATCTCCTGTAGAAAAAAGTGTTTCCCTTTAAAAGCGTCCAATTTTACCCACCCTGTACAGACTATACAAATGTATAGATAATTTAATGGAAAAATATATTTAATCTAAATTAGTTACGAATATTGACTGGATTGTATACTATCCAGCTAGTTCACAAACTATCTAAGATGTATAGTAATTAAAATTTTTTAAATTTATATTACAGAGTAATAAATGGTGAACTAATACCATACGAAAAAGGCTACAAGCCACCAGCAGCCATCCCAATCGGCGAGTTAGTCTACGCCAGCCAAGTAAAAGAGAAGGACCAGCAAAGGTCCATTGGCCCTTTTACCAAGCAGGATAATTTCAAGAAACCGAGAGAATCGAGTAGTTCCATTGGTCCGTTTACGGTTGAAGATAATATTTCGTTAAACAGAGAAGAAAAACGCGATGAGCAAGAAGATACCAAATATGTGAAGTTCAGCTCTTCAGGTAGATTTTTTTTATTATTATATTTGATTATAGTATTTAAAAGTCCTTAGATAATATACAGGGTCCGGCAATAGTGCGTCGGGCATCTGTAGCTCCTAGAATAAAAAAACTTGAGAATTTTGTTTAAGTGCAGACCTAAAGTATGTACCAGGATGTATTTCCGGAAAATATTTTAACTTCTATAGGGTGGCTCAAAAAAGTGTGAGTGGATCTGGATGATTTTTTTTAAATGGAACACCCTGTATTTTATTGCATTTTTGGCTACCTTTCAGATCATTTTACATAATCCTAAGATATGAGTAAATATATTTCGATAGTTTCTTAGACTAAAAAAATAATTTTATTAGTATTAAATTCTAATAAAACTGTTTCTGCATGCGAAAATAACGTTTTTATTACATTATTATTAGATGTTATTTTCATATAATAAACTACTAAATAAAAAATAATTAAAAAAATCAAAATACTGACTCTTCCTTCTTTATTCATTTTTGTGAATCCGTTTGCTTAATCCGCAAGCACATATCTGCTATTCCCGAATCCATCTCATAACTATCCACTTAGGAATGCAGAGCACGATCTTTATCTGCCAACTCCGAGCTCAGAACTAGTTAAAAGTTCAATACTGTACAATGCCAAAAAAATGTCACAATCATCTGCCTTTGAATATCAAGTCGCTTTCATTCTTTCCCGCATTTCGCAAAGCTCTGAAATCATACTTACTAGAGAGAGCCCTATATGCGGTAAACGACTTTTTTGTTGATGTTTAATCATGAACGATTTTGAATTTTAAAATTTGGATCATCTCACACACTGGTCAAAGGTCAAGTATTTAATATTTTATAACTATTAAAATTATATCTATTTACAATTTTCCTATTGTAAAATTTTATTGATACGCCTTTTTTGCAATTGTCCATATGTCCATGTATGTTCTATTTGTAATTTTAATGACTTAATTTTTTTTGAATTGTATGATTTGTATTGTATATTTTTTTATTATTTGTATATTTTCTTATGCTTTTGTTTGTTTTGTAAATACTTTGTCGATAAAGCTATTTTAGCTTTTTGCACAATAAAGCGTTATTTGTTGTTTGTTGTTGTTCATCGTCTCCATCTAGTAAACCATAAACAATTTCACAGTCGGCGTAGGCCCTTTCACCAAAGAAGACAACAAACACTTATCCAGCCCATCGAAATTCGTCGACTACATCAAAGAAATAAACGAAAAGGAAGCAAAGAAAAACCACAACAACAACCAGAGAAAATACCGATCGTACGACCAGAACGCGTGGCAAACGAACAACTTCTACCAGAACGCCTACGAAACCGATCAAAGCTTTGATCAAGGCGGCTACGGCTACGAGCCGCAAGATTATCAAACTGAAGATCAGGACCAGCACAATAAATTCCAAAGGCGGATGCTGCAAGATCCCCAGAGCCAAATCTACTACCCACCGTCGAAATTGTACAGCCCACCGAGGTGAGTAATACGAATTTGTTTTGTTGGAATATCTATTTGTAAACAAAAGAATTGGAATTGTTGCAATCGAAATGCAGTAATGTAATTTTTAATGTTTATTTATGAGTTTAATAATAAGGCGTTAGAATGTATACAGGGTGAGATTACAAGAGACACAAAATCAGTTTGAGTCTTTGAATAAAAAGATTAATGTAGGAGCACAGATTATACAGATTATAAACTTTGTTTTTTCTTTATTGTTTTTCGTGGTTCCAATTTTCGGAATCGGGCACTAGTTAGGTTACTAGTTTGCGCACATAGCACGCCCACTTATGGCCTCTAAAATTGTGCACAGCGCCTGACCGGCACAGTTATTAGAGAGATATCGGAAAACCGAATAGCGTCATCCAGTATTTATGCCTACCTTATCATGGTTACGATATGCGCGAGTCAATTTTTAAAGCAACACCCACTAATAACGTTACCGCCTGACGTAATTTGCGGATCAATTACACCAAGCGCTCTTTCTAAATAACCTCTGATAACGTTTAAAAATTGCTTAAATGGGCATGTGCGGGTATTTGACAACCGGAGCCGGCCGGCGAGATCTTTTATTTTAGGTTATGTTTGAATTGTTTTGAATTATTGCTTTAGTTTTATTAGGTAATTTGATATTTAAGTAGCTGGGATTAGTTTTAATTAAATAAATATGGCCCAAAATATGGATTCCACCTCTTCCAATACTAAAGAACCTATAAAGAGTCTTAGGTTTAGAGCAGATGACGACTTAGCCTTTCTAAGAGAATTTGTTGCTTGTTGCCCTAAACCACTGGCAGGCGTTGAATAATAAAGCACTGGAAATAAGCACTTTAGCCCTTTAGTTTTAAAATACCTAGTAAACAAAACAATTTCAAACAAAATTTTAAATTCAAAGTTATGTTAAGTTTAAATAGCGGACGCGACGCGATCAGAATTATTTCCGATCCGATAACTATAAATGAAGAGAGTTAATACCACCTCACGTAAAGGAAATAACACCTGGCCTTATTAACGTCCATGCACGCTATTCGGTTTAGCGATATCTCTCTATTACGCTGTTTATTGTTATTTTACGCGAGTTTATTTTTGCGCACAGGAAATTTTACTCGTTTGCACATCGTCATAAAAAACAATTTTCGTACCACGAATTAGGAACAAGATTTTTATCTGTATACTTATAGGATACCTAATCTGTGGTTAAAATCAAGAACAAAGTACAAACCACCTGCGGCGACTTTTCAAAAGGTTAGAAAAAATTATGTAAAAAGATGGTAAAAATTAAAAAGAAAACCGCAGCTTGCGGTTGCTCTTCGTCTGGTGAACAGTAGGTGTAAGTTCATTTAATTGTTTTTACATTTTGTTGGGCGCCACTTAATTTAAGCCAAGTTAATGTGATATGTAAAAAATTGAGAAAATTACCACAGGCTAAAGATGTTCTGTAATGATATATCTCAAATTAAAACACCAAAATTTAATTAAAAACCATGTACATTTATTCATAATTAAATAGGTTGAAACTCCAGTGTAAAAATTAATAAGAAAAAAAGATAGCCATTAAAAAAATATACAATAAATTAGTGTTATTTTAATATTGAAACTTAAATTAAATATTATCAAACTACATATAAAGTTAACTATAGTTATATTAACTATAAATTACCAAACGAAATTGTTGTATTTAAGTTTCATTAAAAGGTTGTAATAAAAAGGTAGAAAGAAAAAAAGAGCAAAAAAAGATATTCTAAAACACTACATAAAAGAGTACTTAGCTTTTGCTCTGAAGCTGTAGTCAATTAGGGTTGATTTCTTATCGTACTTGGGCCCACATCCATGAAGTAATTGCTTCAAACCATCAGAAAACTTCGAAAATTATTTGCGTAAGAGAGAAAGTTCGTACCATCCTCGAACAGGGAACCTTCACGGAACCATTAAAAAAATTCAAAAACTGCTCAAAAAACTTCTGCTTAAAAAACTACTGCTGTTCTCAAAATCTTCTCAAAAAGTTCCTCCCAAAATTCCAATTCTTTCCCTTAAGATGGTAAGAGACACAATATATAATAAATGATTTTTCTCTAAGTATACGAAAGAAAGTAAAAGAAGAAAAACTATAACTTACACGCAGGGCTATTCTCCACCACATACGATGAAAAAAAACTTTTCTAGGAGGATAAAAATCACCCTGGGACTTAAAAATTACCGTGGTTAAGATGGAAGTGTCGAAAAATTCGATTAAATTTTTAAAGTTCTGCCAGAGGTTATCTTCTGAAGGCAAACAGTAAACGCACACCCAGACTGTGCTCAAAATATACAACATTCAGGAAAGTTACTCTTCTTCCTTCTTTCTCAACCCGGTTCCATCCAGTGTTGGATATAGGTCTCTTCTTGGTTTTTCCAGGCTTCGCGATCTCTAGCCAATCTTATCCATTGTCTTCCCGCCACTGCCATGACGTCATCGACCCATCTCTTTTTTGGTCGGCCCACACTTCTTGTTATTCCCCTAGGTCTCCATAGGATGACTTTTTGGGGACATCGCATCGGTCTGGATCCTGCCTTGCCGCATGTCCTATCCATTGCCACTTCAGACTTGCCACTCTTTTAACAACATCTATTAATTTTGTTTTTTGACGTATGTGGGTGTTCCGTATATTTTCCGTGCGTTTTTATGTGCGTACTATATATTATTAGTAACATTTAAAGAATAATTTTAACTAATAATATAAATTACAACCCTGCGCCACCACATCGAACGGCATTTATGGTACCACCAAAATTGCAGCGGTACAAACCATAAAATAATAAATACAAGAAGAAGTGTCAAGTCAATGTTAAATTATGGAAACAGCGTGGCTGCCTGGGTAACTAATTTTCAGATATGGCGGCTGGGACATTTGACATGACATAAACATGACAATTTCAATTTTATGAAATTTATTTCCGTTTCCGGTTTTTAATGGCGGGCTGTTCAGGAGGTTTAAATGAGGGTTAATATACTTTTTACTCTTTCTAGTAGTAAATAATACAACAAAATTACTCAAAAATATTTATTTGGAATTTAGAACAATGTAAATATGCAAATCAACACAATTAAAGAGCTATAAACCAATAAACTACTCATCAATATCAAATATTTAAATAATATCAGAGATGCTGTGTTAAAGCGAATTAGTAAAGTAACAGTGCATTGACTTACAGAAACTTGAAGATAAATAAATGTTTTCACAGCTTCACGGACATAAAACTAAATAACTGGAAGCAGGAAAAAGGCAACCGGAACCCACACAAAACCTGGAATCAAAAAAAATATGTAAAAAATATAAATATAGGTACATAAGACTTTTGTGAATTAAATCAAACAGGACTTGAATGTAAATAAAATGAATAAAAAATATAATACATATACATCTAATACCTCATTTGTATTTTAAAAATAATCTACATACATAGATTTATAGCATTATTGCTATGAAAATACATAATAGGTACCTATGTAATATGTAATTACGCATATCTGTTCATCTTGTAGAAAATTAATGTAGGCTAATAATACTTCAATAATCATAATTTACCTTGTATAACTTGCTTTCAGTTGCTCAAAATCACCGATCAGTCTTTAAAGTAGAGATACGGAAAAATCCTTGGCAAAGAATATCCCAAGATCCTTGGGTTTAAAGCTAAAAAAATATAAAAACAGTTAATATATTACCTATTTTTACATATAATATGGCCCATACCTACTACACGCAGAAACGTCGATTTCATCATTTTCTTCATGTAATTAATATCATATATACTTTATTAAAGTGTTAACAAGGAACTTTATATCAAAAAACATCTTTGTACTTATAAATTTCAGCCGAAATATCAGAAACAAACTTCCAATCAAATCTAAACGGCAAAAATTAAAATGGCGCCCGACCTTGCCAGAGGCCTGGGGAGCTGACGCTGACACACAGACAAAAGACAAAAGAACAGGACGCCGACGTGCATAAAAATGTTCCGTAGCAGAAATTGACAGAAATCATATAGAAATATTCAGATTTTTGTCTAGGACAGTCTAGAAAGCCATGCTTTCTGCCTGGGTAGAACCGCGCCACAACTGTTTCCAATTTTCCGGTTTACTGTCACCCCCCTGGTACAAACTAGGGACGGGCATTATTTTACATCAATTCTACTAGAGATGTAGCGTAAAAATAAGGAATTATTTTGGACACTGTCTACACACTGTAAAAAAAAATAAGATTAGTGATCGGTTTCGGCAATTCCAGCCACCATCAGATCTTAAAAATAGATTAAATAATAAAACTCATATAAATGTAAAAAAGCAAATAAAAGATATGTAATAAAACACAGATACAAAACTAATTAACAAAAAAACATACTAACAAGTGAAAAATTACCTTTGTCAATACGTTGTTAAACAAGTTAATAAAGTCAAACGAACAGCTGTTTTCGACAAAGGTAATTTTTAACTTGTGTGTTTATTTGTTAATTACTTTTGTATCTGTGTTTTATTGTATATTATTTTTTATTTGCTTTTATACATTTACATAAGTTTTATTATTTACATCTATTTTTAAGGTCTGATGATGGCTAGAATTGCCGAAACCGGTCACTAATTAAGTTTGAGAATCACCCGGTATATACAGGGTGTCCCAGAAATAAGTACAAGTATTTTAACTGGTAGTATAGTTCAACTCCAGAAACACGCCTATGAGTTTTTTTTCGCGAAAAAAAATGTGAAAATTCGGAGTTTTTTAGATTTGTTTTTAGTTTTTATTTAAAAAACATAATTTCTTGATAATAATTAGGTACATAGGTAGTAGACTAAATTTACAAGAAAGAAAATCCAGAAAAGATATTTAGCAAAAAATATTTTTTTTGGGAAATTTTTAAAGTAAAATAAAAAAGTTAAATTTAAAAATTTTTAAAAAAAGTTATTTTGGACTTATTTAAAAAACGATAAAGAGAAAATATGTTTCTTTTGTCGAGATCTACCACCCCTTAAAATACTTGCACTTATTTCTGGGACACCCTGTATATCGCATATTCCTAATTAGCAACCTTTAGTTGAAATTTAATTGTTAAAAAAATGAAGTTAGAAAATGAGTTTTTTAATCGAGTTTTGTAAATCTCTTAGTAATTTCAATCTAAAATTGATGAAAAATAGGTATTCTATAGAAAACTGTGTTATTTTTTTATTACTCTTGTGATAAAAAAAATAATAAATATGTTTGCATTAAACGCAACTTGCAAAAATTAACATAAAAATATAATATTTAATGATGGTTTCATCAACTGATTAATGTTATTTTTGTTTTGAATGTTTAGTTTCACTTCTTTTTAATTAAACCTTTAGTTATATTTTCTGTACCTTTTCTCTATAGCGCCACTAAGTTAAGTCCTGTAACTTTCACTGAAGGAGTACGTACTCCAGTACTCCAATACGCTCATCCAGAGTTAGGAGTACAGCCTGCCAAAGTTACAAGCGATGACGAGGAATATTCTACAGGAGTAAGAGATTCTTACAGGTAGGATACTCGAACTGAGTTGACAAATATAATTTTACTCATTTTTTAATAAGTTTTTTTAATTATAATGAGCATCTTTTTTATTATTTTCAGAGAAAAAGATTACACAGCTTATGGAGATATGAACACTGGAAGACAGCAACAAAATAGATATTATACTGACACTGATTCCAACAGCGTCAGTTTTTACAAGAAAGACGTCATAAATTATCCATTCAACACATATTACATTAAACCTAAACAAGAACAACCTCTATGGGTAAGATCTATAACATTTTTTCACAGGGTCACACATATTATTTTTGCTTATTACATTTATAGGTAAAAATCACTGAAAGCATTAAAGGCAACGTTCAAACCGGTTTAGAGAGAATGCAAAAACTCACTAGGCCAGTTTTTGAGCCACTTGTAGAAGCCACTCACAAGATTTCCCATAATCTTGGATTCAGTCACAATACTCAACGGGCAGAAGACAAAGTTGGTCTAATAGGTCCTGCAGCTGGTACATCTGTCATTCTACCTGCTCTGGGTGAGTAAAATTGAATTAATTTAATGAATCTCAAACTACTAGTTCTCCAAAATTCGTACTTCGCTATGCACTGCAAGAAAATCTACAAAATAAAACAGTTATTTTTTGTAAACACTTCTGCGTTAAACCCAAACCGAAACTACTTGTTAGACGTTATGTTTATAGTTATACAAATTTGCCTAACAAAGAAAAAATGCTTAACGTTTCGGAAAGTTTATCTCTTTCCGTCGCGTCGTCGGAAGCAAAAAAAAACAAAGAATACAGAAAAAAAACTATTTAAAATACTTAAATTCAACTATTGGAGAACACTTTAGTTTTTTAAAACAGATACGTCTACAAGAAACCATTGACGTTCTGTTAAAATGACATTATATTAAGTTAAACTTCAAAATTAACAATTACTACCTGATAACAATTACTTAATAAGGCAAAAAGCCCCAAACTTTCTGTATGATTATTTTTAATTTTACGTATGTTATGTTTATTTATGTTATGTTCTTTAAAATCAAAGAAGGCGATTGCCATACATTACTAACATCTACAGATGCATGAGCAATACATTTATTTTTATTAGATTGTATTAAAAAAGTCTCTTTTATTTTTCTTTTATCGCTTCTTTCATTATAATTTTGGCGTTATTAAAATTTATTCTGTGCCCTGTGTCCCACGAATGCTGACAAATCTTAGATTTGTGAAAATATTCCTTTCTTAAATAATCTTTATGTTCTTTAATTCTAACATTTAAGGGTCTAGATGTTTCACCAATGTAAAATGTATCGCATTCACATAGTATTTGGTATATTACATTTTTTGTTTGTTGTTCTGTATTCTTTGGTTTAGTATGCGATAAAATGGATCATTTTTTTTTAAACTACTAGGGTACTACACTGGCAATTATTGTTCTGCAATAAGGACAGTTGCTAAGTTACTTGATTTAATATATGTTAATGAAAGATATATTATAATATCTGTGATTTAACTATGGAGTCGATACGTTTTTGCGAGAATAGCAAAATATTTGTATTTTTTTTTCTTACTTTTCTAGGTCTTGTTGCTGGAGGTGCTGCACTTGGTCTTGGTGCTGCAGCCATGGGCAGGCTTTTCAGCCCAGTGATCAGTATGAGAGCTCTACAAGACGTAGACCCTAACAACATGCGAGCACTACAAGGCCTCGACCCAAACAGCATCATTTTTGTTATGGAAGAACCAGTAAAATCATCAGCTACAGACTCCAAAGATCAACATGAAAGGTACTTTGTCTGAAAGTTATTTAATTCTATTTTAGATTCTGAATACAGGGTCCGGCAATAGTGTGTCGGGCATCTGTAGCTCCTAGAATAAAAAACTTGAGAATTTTGTTTTTTAAGTGCAAACCTAAGTATGTACCATGATGCATTTCAGGACAATATATTTTAACTTCTATAGGTGGGTCAGAAAAGTGTGAGTGGACGGGGATGATTTTTTTTTAAATGGAACACCCTGTATATTGTGTGTAATAAGTGATCTGAAAGGAAACCAAAAATGCAATATACAGGGTGTTATTTAAAAAAAATTATCCAGGTCCACTCACACTTTTTTGAGCCACCCTATAGAAGTTAAAATATTTTCCTGAAATACATCCTGGTACATACTTTAGGTTTGCACTTAAACAAAATTCTCAAGTTTTTTATTCTAGAAGCTACAGATGCCCGACGCATTATTGCCCGACCCTGTATATGTTTTAATACTGAAACAACTATAATATTCTTTGCTAAAACTAAAGAATGAAATTTAGTAATTTATACAATTTTTTTTCATTGCAGAGTGGTCAGGGATCTTCACAGACGATTTAGGAGAAGTCTGCTGATAGAAGACGACAGTCTACAGTTAGCGGAAGAAGCTGAAAATTCAGGAAAATTCCCTGGACTGATGGACCAGAAATTCTGGACGGATACGCCATGTTCGAAGCAAATTTTCTGCCAGGTCATGTTGCAACAGCATCCAGATGAAACGGTGATCATGGAGAAGAAAATGGAAACACTGTTAGGATCGTAAGTAGAATTCTTCTTCTTCTCGTCCATTAACGCTCGAAAGAGTATGATGACACTGATGACAACATGTCTCAATTGCATGGATCGTTGTTCTCTAAAAAAAATAATATTATTTAAGATAATTACAAAAAACCTAATTTTAAATAGTTTTAATATCCTGTAACTCTAAAACTATACGTTTCCATACCCATGCTTATAGGAACTTTTTTCACATTTTTTGATAGAGAATAAGAGCCCATTTCGCATTTAACGTTTTATGTAAAACTGGCTAGGTATTTTTACACAAATTAAGAAGAAAATTAAAGATAAAGGATTATACTATATCCCTATTGTGGCACATTTTTAGATAACTTCTTCATTTTTAAGATTTTGATGCTCAAAAGTCAAACATCAACACAATATACCTTATGTTGCGACTAAATTTTCTCGAAAATAAAAATGTAATTTAAAATTCTGATACAATACAGAAATAGATTGAAGTTTTGTGATTCCAGTGATATATAACTTATATGGTTTTGTAACAAATTGCTCGTTATTTTATGGCAAATGTTGAAGCTCTGCAAGCCTTAATGAAAGCACGTGTGTTTGGAATTTTGGGTGTGGTTTAACACGACAGGACCGGGCTAAGCTTTAAGCAGATTTCTCAAATATAATGTATATTTCCTTCGGCCGCACAGCCGCTTTACCCGACCCCGGACCAAAAAGTACCGGGTGGCCAACTAAGAATTGACGCCGGCTGTATCTCAGAAACTACTTATCGTATAACTTTGAGAAAAAAATTCTAATAGGTAAATCGACCAAGAGAAATCGCTGGAAATTACGTTCGAAAAATGCCCGCTATGGGGCGTTTCTCTAATAGCCAATCAGAAAACAGGGTTTTTCTCAAAAATATGCAGATGAACAGGTATTTTAAATATTACTATTGTAATCAACGAGAAATTTGTATTTTTTTTCATATAGAGTATTTTGCTCTATCTCATAAAATAAAGTGGTGGGGGAAGATTAAACTTGTTTTTATTAAAATAAGGATAACTCTGGTTTGGGTTGCGCGATTTAAATAAGCTAGGGCTCGTTTAAAAGAGATTTTCTTCCCTAATAATCTCCAGTATAAATTTTGTTTCCACAATTTTTTTCCTGGTAGCTAGAGGGCGCTGTTTGACATCATAACAGATATTGCGCTTTTGCGTAAAAAAATTAAATAGGAGGCTATATTTCTCTTTGCACAGTTAAATAGAGCACAAAATTTCCAAAATATCAGCGCAAACCGCAACTTTCTATCTGCTCTCTAACCGGAGATATTAAGAGAACAAATCATGTTAGGCTGCCGCTTAGGATCATATGGTCTAAAAATTATAGTAGTAGGCTAGGAAACAAAAAGAGATAAATTGTTTATGTCAAAATATCAAAATATCAAAATGTTTAAGTTCAGTTTTCATGCATCCGAATTTCGGGCGTTTTCTTAAAAAAAATGACGTCATAATTATTTAAACGTGTTTATGTAACATTATCATCCATCCATATAATTTTTACGAATTTCTTGGTTAATTATACGTAGGTAGACTGAGATTAAAATGTCCGAAAGTCGGAGAATCAATATTTTTATTAAAATTTCTAGGAATTTTGGGCTCAAGTTTCGTTTAGCCGAAATCAGTTACATAGAATATCGGTTTATAGGATGATTCTATACAAGAAGACTAGCACTACACAATTTGATTTTTGCCGCGGAAATTCTTTGTTTTTGAGAAAACTCAATTTTTATTTTTCTATTATTAACTAAAATTTAAAACTTTACGGTTGCTTTTAATAGTTTTTTTTCATTATAGAATGACGTAAAAACATATAATATAAAGACGTGAACTAATTTTTATTCGAAAATATATTTTTATCACAATAATTTTCTTTGATTTTTCCGGGTTTAGAAGTGCCTAAATGTGATAGGAAGATAAAAATTACATATTTTTGTTTGATTAATAATTTGCTATAACTTTTCTATATAACTATTTCCGCGGAAATTTATCATAAGGGCGGTGTAATAGAAAATCTTTAATATTTTCCATAGTATTCTATAGTATTCTCATGAAGTTTTTCATAGTATTCTCAACTTTTTTGCATACTTTCGGTTTGGTTTCGTTTGGTTGTAGTTGGTTGTGTTGTAGTGGGTTTATTTGTTTTGGTTTGATTTGGTTGTTTTTTAGGGTTTGGTTTGGTTTAGTTGTCGTTTTTATGCTTTATTGACAATTTTTTTTTAATTTTCGCATTTATTGACCATAGCGATATTAAGTTGATAAGAATAGATATTATTCATTGATCTGTGTCAAAGGTCGGAAAGAAGAACACTGCATAGTGGTGAAACAAGGCATTTCCGCGGATTTTCATTTTTGTATCGGTGCTTAAAAATAAGTCTACAATATAAAATAATATAATTTTTTTATTTATCTCATTTCGTTACTTCTAAACCGTATTCAAAAAAATGGCAACAGAGCATTTCCGCGGAATTTTATTTTGTATTAGTATTTACAAAGACGTCTAAAAATATGAAATAATATTAATTTTCAAATGTCATTTCGTTACTTTTAAACCGCAGTCAAAAATGGTGACGCATTTCCGCGCAAAATTTTTTCAGTAATATACTCCGTAGGTACCTAAATGGCAAAAAAGTTTTGTTTTTTAACAGATTTCGGCTAAACAAACTTGACCCGAATTTTGTGCCGCCATATTGTTTTTAACAGAAAAAACCGCCGAATTTTGTATGGTCGAAAACTAGGGGTTTGTTCATATAACGTCATTTAGTTATTAATTCAAGTTCGTCCTTGATTTCACTTGTTCTCGTGTTTTACCTCTTGTTTGTGTTATTTATTATTATATTATAAAGTTTATGTCGTTTGGGTCACTTTTCATATAGCACCGAACGAAGGTGCGAATCTTAACAATATGCACTACTGCTCCAATTCTACCCTTGATGCAAGTAGTTTAGATTGTACCATTGCATTGGTCTGTAAATGTTTACGCAGGAATTCTAGGATGGCGAATGATTGGACTTTTTTAATTATCCGAATGAAATGAACTATCCATAATTTTTAAGAAATGATTTGCCAATTTTGTTAGGGGATCCATCATGATGAAATTGCATTTGTTGCAATTTCATCAACATGAATGCCATTGGTGTAGTTGAGGCAGTGGTTCCGCTTATTTTGCTATGAATGTGTGGGGCTTCTTGGATACCACTTACTTTAGTAGATAGAGACGCTGGAGCGGCATATTTCCATGGCCAGTTCGGTCATCGGATACAATATGCCTGGGTTTTAATTTATGGGGTCGAATCAAGAACGAAACATGAATAGATAATAATTAAACGGTATTAAAATAAAATTAAAATATATGTTTTGATATTTTGATGTAACCAATTTATCTCTTTTTGTTTCCTAGCCTACTACTATAATTTTTAGACTATATAATCCTAAGCGGCAGCCTAACATGATTTGTCCCATAGATTTAGGAAGAACAGATATCACATTATGCATTTTAACCCGATCAAACATTCGAAGGTTGACTACGTACTGTAAAAACCAACTGAGATAGAGAAGGCGACATTGCCACATATCAAATTTGCGCCTATCTACTTAGTTTGATTTGCAGAAAAGGTGACTTTAAAACCTTCACCGGATATCAATAAATCTCAATTTCTTGATTAAATTAATAGTTTATTTTTAAAGAAGCATGCGTAATAATATGTTATTAACCAGAGGATATATGCGTTACTATTAAAGGACATGTTTACTGTTTAATGTGCTGAAACGTCTAGAACTATTGGCAACGTCGCTGCTAGTCTTCCAGAATGAAATGAGCCGTCCGTCCCTCCAACCCTCGCGACGGCCCTTGGTCCGTTATAGCGTACTACGTTTAGCTTACGGTGTGTTTGAAGTCGGAATCAAGTCCGAAGTGAACTTTTCAGTGTTTTTCGGTAGTTTTTGCTTTTGTTTAACGTACTTTTGAATCTGCGAATTTTCAATATGGTACGACAGTGTCAAATGTGTGGACAAATAAGCTCAAATTACCCGAATTTGGCTTTCCACAGGTAGGTATTGTTTCCGCTGCGCCGTAATCGTACATAGGCGTCCCACAAGGGAGCCTTTCACAATTAAAATAATTTCTGATTATATTTGTTGAATTCTGATCTACTAAAACAAGAACGTAGTAGCCGGTAATTGAATTATAATTTGTCTCAATTACTACCTAACTGTTGTAGATCATAACAAATTTAAATATAAACGTTACATTTGAAACTTTATTATAAGCCAGAAAGTGACATTTTTCTCTTAAAATTGCGTCCTATTTTGGTCATTATATACGTTATTCTAAAGGAATTTTGCTCAATAAATAAACATAGGTGTTTACCCGTCCTTTTTTACATTTTATTGCTTTATTATATCTGCCCCTTCGGCCTTGTTTAGACAATTTTTTACCACCGTACAAATACATCTTCCTAGAGTTATTTGTACGGTGTGTTCTTTTAGAATGGGACGAACTGTAAATAATTCCTAGGCTACTAGTTTTATACATATCTATATAGAGAGTGACCCAGGCCTCCAAAAAAGCTTTTTACCTATTACGTTTTTGGTTTGTGATTTCTATTTCAATTTTTTACATAAGATGGGGGCCATTGTAACGCACATTTTTAAAATTTTTTGTCAATATACAGGGTGATTCAAACCGCAATACATATGCTTAATACAGTTCATGAAGATTAGGACATTTAACTAAAATTTGATTATCTGATGAAGCTACCTTTAAAAGTAATGGATTTGTAAATAAACGTAATAGGTATAGTATACGTAATACGTATAGATATTATGCAGAAATCCCATACTGTAGCACACAGATTTTATACTTTTAATTATAAATGCCTTCTATTGCGAGACGCAAAAAAGGCAATTGCCTCGTATCAGAGCCATCATAATACAAGAAGAAAACCGAAAGTCAAATCTAGTCTTATATTTTCA